CTCCTCAACACCTGGAGTCAGTAGCCCACATCATGAACAGTTGTTCATCATTTAAAGGATTATATACTGCCAGACATGACAGACTTGTGGACCTTATTGCTGCTCAGATTCCCTGCGTGGCTGATGAGCAGATCTTTAAACACAAAACTGTACAATCTGAATGGTTCAACTCACCTGCAAACACTTTTCTAGGAATTGCTAATACACCAGATATCGTTAACATCTCTCAGAATGGCAAAACAGTTACACTATTTGAGGTCTCATGTTCATTTGACTTGTTGATGGAGGACTCTTACTGCTCTAAGACTTTAAAATATCAGTCATTGATATCTACCATTGAGAACCTTGGGTACAGATGCCAGCTTATTGTGCTGGTGTTAGGTAGTCTAGGTCATGTACACAGGCTGGTGATCCGTGGACTTTGCATTGGGGGGCTATCTAAAATAAGGGCGAAACAGTTGGCAAAGTACTGTTCAATCTCAGCAACTATAGGAAGCATGTTTATTTGGAAAAGGCGATGTTTCCTGTACCCATAGAACTGTATAATCCATAACAATGTGCGGATTTGCTTTAATCTGTTGGATCATTCAAAAAATTTGATTCCTAATGAAATTTGACTTGTAATGTGGAGTGAAATATAGTATATATAATGTGTGTGTGTGTGTGTGTGTGTTTCTAAAGTCACAACAATAGTGCACCAATTATATAACAATGCAATACAAATGATATTAAGATTCTGGCTAATACAGATAAACTAATAATATTTTTTGTACTTGTTATGGTTGATAACTTATAAATAGCTGATATTATAATAATTGTTTTAAATAAAGTGATGTGAATCTATATTTGAAATGAAAAGTAATGACAATAATAATAATAACAGTAATAATACTAACAATAAATGTGCCCTTAAAAGGTTAGTTCACCCAAAAGTTACTCACCCTCAAGGAATCCTTAGTGTATATGACTTCTTTCAGACGAATCCAATCGGAGTTATATAAAAAATTGTCTTTGATCTTTCAAGCTGTTTAATGGTACTCAGCCAATATTGCAGTGCATCAGTCCAACAGAAGTGAAATAAAATTATTACGTTTTGAATATGGATATTTTCCTTACAAAAACGCATTGATTCGCTACAGGAGGCCTTTGTTCATTTTTTTTAATGGATGGGCGCTTTTTATTTAACTTCTTTTGGACTGATGCATGCAACACCCGTTGAGTGGCATTAAACAGCTTGAAAGATCAAAGACAATTTTTTTTATATAACTCCGACTGGATTCGTCTGAAAGAAGAAAGTCATATACACCTAGGATGACTTGAGGGTGAGTAATTTATGGGCTAATTTTCATTTTTGGGTGAACTAACCCTTTAAAGGGTTAATTTTGTTTTAGCTGATATTATAATAAGTGATGTGGAAATACATTTTAAATAATAATAATGATAATAAATGTGCTCTTAAAGGAAACATTTTTAGCTGATATTATAATAATTATGTAAAATAAAGTGATGTGTTACTATATTTAAAATAGAAATAAATTATAATAGTAATAATAATTAGGGATGCGCCGATCCGATATTCATATCGGGTATCGGCTCCGATAGTGCCATTTTTCTCGGATCAGGTATCGGGCAGAGAGAACCGATCCAAATCCGATTATTTTTTTTATTTTTTTTTAGATTGTGCGAATTATTCTGTGTTACTTCTGAAGCCATACAATAGCTTAATGTGAGCTACATATGAATATTTAAGTCCTTACATTAAAGTTCACACAAACTATTTTCTCCGCTGTGGCTGTCAGTCATTCCTTCAGCCTTTAAACCCTGGTTGCGTTCGGTTACAGCAGTCAGCTCAGTAAAGCTCTCTCCAAGATCATTCTGTGTTCCCATTATACTTGATTTGTAAATACATGTCTATGATTTTGCAAAAAGGACTTTATCTTCTTGCCGGAGTTTAATGTTGTTTTGTTACTTGCTACCGGATGTCTGTGAGAACAAAACACGGGTGTAGAAAAGACTATAAATAGTTTTTAACGTGCACAGTAACTGAAATTTAAAACTGTTAAAAGAAAGGCTCAATAACTGTTGCACAGATATAATACACTACGCATCAATTTCTCTTCACTTTGTGCTTTGCAGTTTTTAACACGAAGCGCTTAATGTGTGCACATTGTAAGCGCTTCGTGTTCATAGACTGTTAACCCTCTACATTACGAGTAAATCACTCACGTATGAGACTAAATCTTCACTCTGGGCGACTAAATGATGTCTAATATTAGCCAATGGCTAATCAGTTCTCATATTTTACTCGCCAGTGTGTGAGTTGGAGGCTGAGTATATGATTAGCACATATATATTTTCACTCACAGAACACTCTGACTGAGCGTTTCAGATTTTCACTCTCCGTCAAGCGATCTGTGATATTTTTCAGTTCATTTGAATGGATGCGCAGCGCACCTGTGTTTGTGTATTTGGCGTAAAGTGTTTCTAGTGTGAAGGCGCACGACTCGCCGCAAAGACCGAGAGCGAGCTGTGATCAAAGCTGAATTTTCAGCATCATTGCTCCAGTCTTCAGTGTCACATGATCCTTCAGAAATCATTCTAATATACTGATTTGCTGCTCAAGAAACTTTCCTTTTTATTGTTAATGTTGAAAACAGTTGAGCTGCTTAATATTTTTGTGATGCATGTTTTTCCAGGATTCTCTGACAAATAGAAAGTTGAAGGGAACTGCATTTATTTGAAACATCAATCCTATTCATAATTAATAAAAGTTATAAAATCTTACTGACCCCAAACTTTTTTGTTTTAATTTTTTTTACATTGCTTAAAAATGACTACAATAATACAGTAAAAATTCATACCATCAGTCATCAAATGCTTGGTTAACACTTCATGGCATGATGGTGGTGGACCTTTATTTCAAGCTCACTCTCAGTTTTTTCAGTGCAGTTTGATTTAAAGGAACACTCCACTATTTTTGAAATTAGGCTCATTTTCCAACTCCCCTTGAGTTAAACAGTTGAGTTTTACCGTTTTCGAATCCATTCAGCCGATCTCCGGGTCTGGCAGTAGCACTTTTAGCTGTAGCTTAGCATAGATCATTGAATTTGATTACACCGTTAGCATCTCGCTCAAAAATGACCAAAGAGTTTCTATATTTTTACTATTTAAAACTTGACTCTTCTGTAGTTACATCGTGTACTAAGACAGACGGAAAATGAAAGCTGCGATTTTCTAGGCCGATATGGCTAGGAACTATACTCTCATTCCGGTGTAATAATCAATGAACTTTGCTGCCGTACCATGGGCGCAGCAGGCGCAATATTACGCAGCGCCTGAAAATAGGCTTATTGGAAGTTACCTACCTTTCAGGTGCTGCATAATATCATTGCGCCGCCAGACACAGATGCGCACATGCTGGTTATTTTACAATGGTTTCCAAAGTGGCTCCTCCAATTAGAATTTTAAATCAGAACAGTTTTACTGTTTGGGGTATTTTGTCGCATTTTTTTTTTTGCAATCTTACCCTGTGAATTGTTCATTAAATGCAAATTTAAAAAATAATGAAATAATTACCTTTCATTTGCAAAGTATTTAATCACTGGATTATCATATTATCACAAAAAGGCATTATAATGTGATTATGTAATAAAGTGTTATTTTTTTCATTAAATTTGATTGAATTTTAATATGTAGTTATTCTACATTTAAGTGTTTCATTATTTATTTATTTTTTTTAATCAAATTTTTATTGTTTTGAGATTGTTTAATATACAGAATAACAGACAAACAATCAGCTTTGCAACAGAAAAACTAAACAAAAAACAACACATGATAAATGAAATAGAATTATATATTTAAAAATAAATAAATTAATAATAATAATAATAATAATTTGGTTAAAACTAATTAGTTAAACTGAAGATTGAATGGCAGAAATATAAGAAACAATGTTTAAAACCTAATATACTCCAAAATATACAAAGGACAAAGACTATACATGTACAAAAGATTATGTAAAAAGAAATATATACCCATACAAAAATCTTGACATACAAACAAGTGGAACAGCATGTTTGATTTGACAGTTCAAATCAAAGCATAAAAAAATGTATTCGCGTGGCGCAGCTGACACAGAATAGCATACGCTGTTTGAGTTCAGTGGATACTCTCCAAAATGGCACCAGGGTGACGCGGAAGAGACGAATTGTTGAATAAAGTCATTATTTTTGTTTTCTTTGCGTACAAAAAGTATTCTCGTAGCTTCGTAAACCCCTGATGTCACATGGATTATTTACCGGCCTTGCTACGTTTCTGGACCTTGATCGTGGTAATTACGTTGCTGTCTATGGGAGGGTCAGAGTGCTCTCAGAATTCATCAAAAATATCTTAATTTGTGTTTCCGAAGATGAACGGAGGTCTTAGGGGTTTAGAACGACATGAGGGTGAGTAATTAATGACAGAATTTTCATTTTTGGGTGAACTATCCCTTTAATTCAAGTTAATAAACCTTTAAGCTTCTCTAAAGTATGAGCCCAAAGTCTAATAGTGTCCTCTCTGGCGCCATGAAGGCGAGCAGTGGACAGTTCAAGATACAAGTCTATAAAAGTGAGAACCCAGTATTGCTTATTAATAGAATGTGGAGGCTTCCATCTTGTTGCAACAATTTTCTTGGCCGCTGTCAAGCCAGCTAAAAAGACTCGCTTCTGCATTTTGTTAAGTTGGATGTCAGAAAGATCATTTAAAACAAAGACAGAAGGGGACAAAGGGATCGAGACATTTAATATAGTGGACAGATTTTCTTTAACCATATTCCAAAAACTGGCAACCCCGGGGCAATCCCAAATCATGTGAAAAAAAGTACAGATTTCCCTAATGTTTCATTATTTTTATATGAAAGTCAAATGATTATGTCTGCCTCATCTTCTCAGGAGCTGCGCTGGTGGACATTGGTGAAGCCATGAAGCAGATGGCTGATATTAAAGATGCCCTTGATATCAATGTGAAACAGAACTTCATTGACCCACTTCAGACTCTACAAGACAAAGACCTCAAAGAGATTGTGGTACAACACTGTTTTCGTTATTTTTTTATTAACCCTTCATTTTAAACAAATAATTATTAAAGGTTCAATATGATTTTACATTTAAAATGTTTTATACCTGAAGGCCTTTTGAAATGAGGTTTGAAAAGATATAAACTCACATAAGATGAATACTCCAGGCTAATCAGGGGCCTAGAAAAGGCTGATTAAATCTGCATGGAGCGCGACACCCCCTTATGGTGGGTGTTATGTTGACCAAACAAATAACTACCCTCTATTATCAGACACTATCATTTACTGATAGCAGTTTGTCCATTTTTAGTTTGTGTTTAAGGTTAGTGAAGTACATGATTATGTCTCATGTGATTTCCTGATAGCATCATCTGAAGAAACTGGAGGGTCGACGGTTAGACTTTGACTACAAGAAGAAACGTCAAGGCAAGATTCCTGATGAGGAGATCAAACAGGCTGTGGAGAAGTTTGAGGAATCCAAAGAACTCGCTGAGAGGAGCATGTTTAACTTTTTGGAGAATGATGTAAGGAAAATTACTAATGAGAACCTTTAATTTATTTTAAAAAGTGATTATTTATACACTCACACACACACGTACATATATATATATATATATATATATTAGTGCTGTCAAACGATTAATCGCATCCAAAATAAAAGTTTTTGTTTACATAATATATGCGTGTGTACTGTGTATATTTATTATGTATATATAAATACACACATGCATGAATATATTTAAGAAAAATATATTACGTTTATATATTAAATATGTTTATATATGATATAAATTATATGAAAATAAATATATACATGTAAATACATGTAAATATGTTCAAAATATATGCTGTATGTGTGTGTATTTATATATTCATAATAAATTTACACAATACATACACACACACACACACACACATATACATACATATATTATATATGCCTTTAAAGGGATAGTTCACGCAAAAATATTGTCATCATTTACTTACCCTCATGTCATTCCAAACCTGTATAAGTTTCTTACTTATGTTGAACACAAAAGAAGATATTTTGAAAAACCAAGTCAATGGGAGTCTCATACAAGTTAAAAGAATCTCATACAGGTTTGGAACGACATGAGAGTGAGTAAATGATGACACAATTTAAAATTATGAGTGAACTCTTCATAACTTTGGGACTGTATTATTGAAATAGCACATCATTATTCTTGCATTCCATTCTTAAATTGTTTTTTTTGAGTGTCCAAATACATGTATATATACTCTGTATGTGCTGCACACTACAAATTATATATATAAAAAGGTGTTTTTTAATCTAAAAATGACAAAATACTGATAATTTACTTGAAATTTACTTTAAAGTGCCCCTATTATGCCTTTTCGAATATTACGTTTTATGCAGTGTGTCATGTAGCTGTATGTGAACATAAACTATCTGCAAAGTTGTGAAGCCGACAGTGCACGATAAATAAAGTTATTGTCTATAAAATAAAGAGTCGGCTCGCAATCGCCTAAACAAGTTGTCAGGAATTCGAATCTTGTTCTGTTACGGCGCTACGTCACAAAGTAACACATTTGCGTAATGTCCGCCCACTTGTTAACACTTGACACTTACTACTGAGAAAGGTCCTGCTCCAGTCGTGCTTGCGAATCAGTCTCTTGTGGATCAGCCAGTTCAACCGTTTCATCATCAGACTCCCGCTCGAATTGGTAAGGTACAATCATCAATACCATCTTTTATATGCACTGACAAGTCTCCTAGGGCCGGTTGCACCAGCTGGACGTACACCCGGTTGTAAGACTAGGCTGGACGTAAAATGCGCTTTAAGTCGTGCGTAGAATTTATACCTGTTGCACCATCTCGGCGTAGTGCTACGTCTGACACTAAATCTTACGCCTAGTCAGAGATAGGTGTAAAGTGAAAAGTCATGATTTGCTCGGACATTATTCGTTTTTAGGATTCATGTCTGTTAGTTAATTATTACTGCAGACGTGAACTGTAAAGTGTATGGTCTTTTCGGGCAGGATAAGCGATATCAATCACGAAGCTCGGTGTAGACTATACCACACTGCCGACAGTAATTGACCTAATAAAAACTATATTGCTGTACAGCATGTAATTATGCAGTAAAATATTACATATGATCTGGGATCATTAAAAGAAACTGTACCACTCGACATCTTGCTTGGAAGGACAGTATACATGCTTGGAAATATTTCACGTCTTTAATTCCATTCATTATTTGTAGCGTGCCTGCCATCCAATAATCGCAGTAAGTTTTGTGCTTTGTTACTTTTAATTAGAAATAAAGTATCAGCTTTCAAATTATGTCAGTTTTATCACAAAATACAAACTATAAATGTGTTTTTTCAGCCACAGTAAGACGTCAGTAAAACTCACGTAAAGTCACATTTACCTCAGGAAAGACATTCATTGTACATAAACTAGATAGTCAGCTAGAAAAAATTTACTTTAGAGAGAAGCATTGTATTACATTCATTATATTTTACCTAACTTGCTGCCTTCATTTTTAATGTTCGTTTGAAGAAAGCTGTCATGGGAATGTGCAGGGAGACTTCAGATATAAAAAAACGCGGACTTGTTAGAAAATGTTTACTCAATAAAATCATGGCACGGTGACTTCACTTGTTGTGATGTCTTGAGCAATTCAGTTTTATATTAGTAGTTGTAGCCATTGCAGTGTGAATGTCGTCTCAGCCATCACTGCGGGAGAATGTGTCAGCATGGACGCGCATTGTCTACACCGGGCGTTGTTGCGACTGATCATAGTTTTAGTTGTTGCAACAGATGTAAATATTTATCGTAAAGCTGGACGTTGCAAAGCCCAGTGTAGGATTTACACCCAGATTTTTTACGTCTAGCTGGTGCAACCGGCCCCTGGGCTGACATTTCATCATGGCAATGTTTCGTTTCCGACTATATATATATATATATATATATATATATATATATATATATATATATATATATAATTATATATATAAAAAGGTGTTTTTTAATCTAAAAATGACAAAATACTGATAATTTACTTGAAATTTACTTTAAAGTGCCCCTATTATGCCTTTTCGAATATTACGTTTTATGCAGTGTGTCATGTAGCTGTATGTGAACATAAACTATCTGCAAAGTTGTGAAGCCGACAGTGCACGATAAATAAAGTTATTGTCTATAAAATAAAGAGTCGGCTCGCAATCGCCTAAACAAGTTGTCAGGAATTCGAATCTTGTTCTGTTACGGCGCTACGTCACAAAGTAACACATTTGCGTAATGTCCGCCCACTTGTTAACACTTGACACTTACTACTGAGAAAGGTCCTGCTCCAGTCGTGCTTGCGAATCAGTCTCTTGTGGATCAGCCAGTTCAACCGTTTCATCATCAGACTCCCGCTCGAATTGGTAAGGTACAATCATCGATACCATCTTTTATATGCACTAACAAGTCTCCTAGGGCCGGTTGCACCAGCTGGACGTACACCCGGTTGTAAGACTAGGCTGGACGTAAAATGCGCTTTAAGTCGTGCGTAGAATTTATACCTGTTGCACCATCTCGGCGTAGTGCTACGTCTGACACTAAATCTTACGCCTAGTCAGAGATAGGTGTAAAGTGAAAAGTCATGATTTGCTCGGACATTATTCGTTTTTAGGATTCATGTCTGTTAGTTAATTATTACTGCAGACGTGAACTGTAAAGTGTATGGTCTTTTCGGGCAGGATAAGCGATATCAATCACGAAGCTCGGTGTAGACTATACCACACTGCCGACAGTAATTGACCTAATAAAAACTATATTTCTGTACAGCATGTAATTATGCAGTAAAATATTACATATGATCTGGGATCATTAAAAGAAACTGTACCACTCGACATCTTGCTTGGAAGGACAGTATACATGCTTGGAAATATTTCACGTCTTTAATTCCATTCATTATTTGTAGCGTGCCTGCCATCCAATAATCGCAGTAAGTTTTGTGCTTTGTTACTTTTAATTAGAAATAAAGTATCAGCTTTCAAATTATGTCAGTTTTATCACAAAATACAAACTATAAATGTGTTTTTTCAGCCACAGTAAGACGTCAGTAAAACTCACGTAAAGTCACATTTACCTCAGGAAAGACATTCATTGTACATAAACTAGATAGTCAGCTAGAAAAAATTTACTTTAGAGAGAAGCATTGTATTACATTCATTATATTTTACCTAACTTGCTGCCTTCATTTTTAATGTTCGTTTGAAGAAAGCTGTCATGGGAATGTGCAGGGAGACTTCAGATATAAAAAAACGCGGACTTGTTAGAAAATGTTTACTCAATAAAATCATGGCACGGTGACTTCACTTGTTGTGATGTCTTGAGCAATTCAGTTTTATATTAGTAGTTGTAGCCATTGCAGTGTGAATGTCGTCTCAGCCATCACTGCGGGAGAATGTGTCAGCATGGACGCGCATTGTCTACACCGGGCGTTGTTGCGACTGATCATAGTTTTAGTTGTTGCAACAGATGTAAATATTTATCGTAAAGCTGGACGTTGCAAAGCCCAGTGTAGGATTTACACCCAGATTTTTTACGTCTAGCTGGTGCAACCGGCCCCTGGGCTGACATTTCATCATGGCAATGTTTCGTTTCCGACACGCGCTGTACGCGTTAGACCAATCCAGAGCCAATTTTTCTACGGCTCTGGACCAATCACAAAGGACTGCGCCATCTGACCAATCACTGCAGTGAGGGCTCACGGAAAGGAGGGGTTTAGAGAGCCTGATTCTTTGAATTGCTTCGCACAAGTCGTTTACGAATCATTTAGAAATGGCGTAAATTTAAATCTATTTTTTGAGAAAACGAATGTGTTTTTTGACCTTGCATGCATGTAAACCTGTTTTAGGAGACTCGTAAAACAATATTAGCAACCTTAAAAATGGCATAATTGGGGCACTTTAAAAGATATACAGTGGTGGCCAGAATTATTAGAACACTAGTATTTTCACCAGCTAAAAAAGGGTTTAAAGTCAGTTATTTCAGTTTTTTGCTGTAGTGTGTCAGTAGGAAATATCAGCTTACATTTCCAAACATTCATTTTGCCATTAATTGTAATAATCCAGTGAGATCTTTGTTTGCACAACAGCCAGTGCTCCACACAGAGATCTGATCTGATCATCATCAGTCTGTCTGCGATTACATGAAGAAACAGAACAAACTGAGACAGACTCAATCCAGAAGAACTGTGCCAACTTCTCCAAGATGCTTTAAGAAACCTTCCTGCAAAGCTACAGTACTGTTAAAAGTATTAGGCACTTGTGTAAACATGTTGTAAAATGAGGATGCTGTCAAAAATAATGTAATACATAAATTTTTTAGGATTCATGTCTGTTAGTTAATTATTACTGCAGACGTGAACTGTAAAGTGTATGGTCTTTTCGGGCAGGATAAGCGATATCAATCACGAAGCTCGGTGTAGACTATACCACACTGCCGACAGTAATTGACCTAATAAAAACTATATTTCTGTACAGCATGTAATTATGCAGTAAAATATTACATATGATC